CTTTCTTCTTAAAGTCTAGTTGTCGCCACTTAAGCCAAGCTGTGTCTTTTTTTTTTTTGGTAAATATTTATTTGCTTATTTATTTATTTTCTTGTTTTATTTTATTATATAAATTATTTTTTACCTTTTATTATTTTTAGCTTATGTTATTTATTTAAATTTAAATTGATTTTTGTTGTTTATTTTTTTATAAATTTTATTTTTAAAAAATAATTTTTTAATCCTATCAAATGATTAGAGGATTGTAATTTTCAATTATGAATTCTACCAAACGATTGGAGAATTTCATGATGAATTTAAAAATAATAAATTTTTTAATCCTACCAAACAATTGGAGGATTAAAATTTTTGCTAAATCTTATCAAATTATTTAAGGATTAAATGACTTTGTTTTAAAAAAAAAATCATAAAAAAGTTTTCAAAAAAATCTCACCAAACGATTGGGGGATATGCATTAATATAAAATCTTACCAAATGATTGGATGATTTTATTGATTGATTTCAAAAAATAATTTCTTAGAAAATATGTTAATGAATTTGACGATGGAGCATCTTTAGAGTGGGACACAAATCTCCATAAATACTCTTGAAATGAGAAAATTATCTTAAACTGCTACCAAACGATTGGAATAATCTTAAGAACAATTTTTAATATTAAATTTATTAGGTAAATTACAAACACATTTTAAGGTTTAGATAATATGAAATCAAACTGATATCATCATTTGATGGGCATTGTAAGGGTGCTATAACATTTTTCACACGTAATCGTACTTTCGGATTTAGTCTTGGTTTCGTAGACAGAAAATCTACCTTTTAAAAATACCTAAGTTAAGCTTTGAATTTCTCTTTAAAAAGAAACAGACTCACTTAGGTAGCCAACCACACCTAAACAAAAAAAGATTGATGGTGACTCTTAAAGTCAAGTCTAGCTATAGGTTTATAAATATATACGTTATGACAGGTAGGATAAAATTTAGGTAACTTAGGGAAGATAGTTTACATGACTTGTCAAAGAGGAAAGAATGGTAAAAAAGATATCGAAGTTAAGATTTTAGGGTATGTTTAGATGTTTAAATCAATAATTGTAAGAAAAGAAATAGTGAAAGCAAAAAAGGTTGCTATGAGTGATAGTAAGGTCTATTGGCTTCTTAGCTTTTTATCTTATACCTCTTATACTTTGAAACATAATTATATGATTAGGTCAAATATAATGCATACCCGCTTTTTTCACTCGTGAAAAAACCTAGTTAGAACAAGTGACATACACATAACGTTCCTTGAAACTTAACTAGACTACTCTACTTTTATAAGTCTCATAAACTCATTTTACTTTCAACCTTTAACTTGAGAGAGTATTGGGTCTAACGTAATTAATTGAACAATTGATGTATTAATTTAGTATAGTTTTTAAAATAGTTTAATCAAAGAAAAATTATCAAATAATAAAGTTTTTAGACTCCATAAGCGAGATTAAGAGGGTAACACATACTTCTTAAGCTATATATAAAAAATATAAAAATAAATTAAAAATAAAAATAAGACATATGTCAATATTTTAATACTGCTTATGGAATTAAAAATTTACATAGATAATGTATCAAATATTAGCTCTTGATCAAAAAGAAATTATCAAATACATTGACAATGAAATTTTTAAAGTGTTTAGTAGTTATTATTAGTATTTAGAAAAAAAATTCCAAGAATTCTCTATTTTTCCTTTTTTTTTTCTTTTAATTTTTTGATGACTCAAATGAATCTGATGCTTCACCTAAGTATACTAACTTTGAAAAGATATTGGGTGATTAGTAAACCTTTAAGTATTAACATTAATTTGCATTAGTCCTTTTTAATCATCTTCTTTTTTTAAGCTATCTCCAACAATAAAATATTATCTCATTTGAAGTTTTTAAATTTCATAAATAAGATTAGTAAAGTGATATATACCTCTATAATATATTCAAAAATGAGTTTATATTTGATATAATATTAGTGTATAAATTTTATACACTGTCAGTGAATCAATATTATCACTTCATTAGTCACCGAACATGAATTTTTACTAGCCCTTAAGATAAATATACAAAATTTGATTTAAAAAAAATTATTATTAATAAGGTAGTATTATGTAATTTATTGACAGTTTATAAAATATATTAGCAGTATATTAAATATAAACTCTTAAAATAAAATAATAATTAAAAAAAGTGAAACATTTAACAATCCCTTAATTTTACTTGTCAAATTAAAAAAATTATAATGACAGTTTATAAAAAATGAACTTAACAAACAATTTGATAATTTTTTTCCTTTTTCTTTATGAGAATAATTAATGGTGGATCAATATGGGTCAAGTGCACTATCCTCTCCCTACAATGGACGTCGTTTAATTTGATAAAAATTATGTTCAAAGAGAATCCCACGTTAATTTTCTTAACAAGATAATGGCAAACTCCACATTTGTTTAATATTAGATAGCTAAATACATTAAAGAAATCATTTTTTTATTGTAGGTAGTTTTTTGCTTTGCATAATATTTTACTAAATACTAAGGCTAGAGCTTATCTTTTGGTCGTATTTTATGAAGAAATGCTTCTTATAAACTAAAATTTTATTAAATTATATTTATAAATGCTATTCTACCTACTCCCATGAGAAGAAAATTGGTGGTTGCAACATTATCCTATTGGTAATTCACCAGCTTTTTAGGATAAATTTTAAATTCAAATTAAGTACTAGGTACTAACTCCTAATTACATTAGACTATTATCGAAATTTCCCATGTGCTTAATTCTTAAATGATAATTGAGATATTAAAAATTCTTTTAGTACAAAAGAAATTGTAGTTTTCAGATAGGGATTGAGTTATAATGTTAAGATTTGAATTTCATATCTATTAAATATTATTTTTTAAAAATAATTAAATGAATCAATTGATAATAAGTTTTGAATTTGAAATATTAAAAATATTACTTAATTCTATACTAATCTCTCTCATTTTTTTCTTTTGTAACCTTAAAATTTCAAGTAATTTTTATATACAAAAGTTATTGCAATTTAGAGATAAAAGAAAAAGTTGTGGGTTAAAATTTAAATTTCAAATTTATTATATGTTATTTCTTAACAATGGTTACATAAACAAACCGTTTGAGTTAAGTTTTAGACTATCAAGTAACTTTATTATAAAATATTTATTGATTATTCATTACCAACATTGATGGTCGACTTCTCAATAAAAAAACCCATTCAACTTGACTAAAAGAGCTTTACCCATTGGCTTAAAAAATACATTATAAATGAAGACTGCATTAAGATTGGCCTAGCTTTAGTATTTGGTCTCAGTCTTGGTCTTGAATCTTGCCCTTTCAAGCAAACTTACAAGTCTAAAAACTCCAAATTTTGACTACGAGGTAGATTTAGTAATTTTAAATAATATACAATAATAAATTATGAAAATAATATAAAAAAATAAAAATAATAAGATTTAAAATTTTAATAAAAATTATATATAAATTAGATAAAAATAAAAAAAGATATTTATATTTTATGTATCAATAAAAATTTGACACGATAATTTATTATATTTTACATGTATTTAATATGAAATGAATACGATAAAAAATACATGAATTGTAATATTTATATCCAAGTGTGGCTGTCAAGTTTTAGTTAATGAATTGTAATATTTTAAACAAAGCATTGGCATTAGAGGAAAGTAGTGAAGACCACATGACAGGGAAGGTATTAAAAAGAGGATGGTTTCATCTCATTAGAGTTGTTAGGTATGCTAATTATTGATCTTTTCTTTATTTCCTAATAACTAACCTTGTTATAACTTGATGGACAAGTTATTTACACTCAGTTGTAAAAACATTTACATCATCACCTATGAATTATAAAAAAGATGTCAATAATAATATTACTAAACATGAAACCACTTTTATTGCGCTGTTCTTTTCTCTCTTAAAAACTTTATTAATTTGGGTATCAAGGTACACTTCGAAATTTTAATTCTAGCATTTTATAATTTTTTCTTTGAAAAATTTGACAAACTCTCCAACTCAACTTCCGGTAAGTCTTACTCTCGTTGAATCTAAAAATATCTTGACAAATCTCGAATGTAGACTAATGAAATTTTATTTATAGATAAAAGTTTATTTCGTGAACATTTCTTGGTTGGAAACGAAAATGGTAAAAGAAGACTAACATAAACTTTTTGAAAGTGACATTATAAAACCATAAATAAACATTTCATTTTTGTTCATTACTTCACTCTACCAAATAAGATCACCAAGTGAACTTTTTTTTTTTGTTTTTCAAATTCTATTTTATTCAAAACATTTCATTTTATATTTATGTATTTATATTTTCCAAATATTTTTGTCGTCTTAAAATGGCTAGGAAACTTTTATCCGTTCACACTATTACTTAAGCTTTAACAGCAGAAAGCATGCAAAATCGTCATTTTGTACGATTTTGTATGGTCAAACCCAATTTTTGAGCACTGAATTGTTCATTTTGTGCTGTCGAGTTCCCGACAAATTAAACGTCAGCGAGTAACCACACGATCGCAGGCAATTAGAGCGTGTTTCAACGCGCTCCAATGTCGGAGATCTCTTTCCATGTTTCCTCGTGCAATGGTGGCGGCGCTAGTTTAAAAACAAAAAAAAAAAAGTTGTGTTCCATAGAATTCTAGGTAAATATAAATATAATATTCAGTTAATAGGGTCGAGAGTAAATGAGTACACTACTTTCGACCTGTTTAGGTTTTATTCGCATTCAAAGTTTCACTTGTTGATTATTTATTTATTATTAAGTTAAATTAAAATTTAAAGTATTTAAATAATTTATAAAATAATTAAATATTAAATTTGATAGACTTACAAATTTATTGAAATTTTTATTTTTTAATTTATTTAATAAATGACAAAATATATAATTTTAATGTCAATAATTATAATTTTATTAAGTTTAATTGTTCTGTTTAAGCTTTTTCGCCCCTATATAAATGGCTGCCAGACTCATTCGTTTATGCACCAAAATCAAAAAGCCAGCGTCCTTTTAAAGTTCTCCCTGTGCTTTGCTGTGAAGCCACCTTGACCTTTCAAATTATCAGTACTAGCATGTCTTCCAACATCATGAGAAGTGACACAGAGAGTGCCTGGGTCTTTGCCCTGGCATCCAAATGCCGAGCTTTTTCTCAAGAAAACATTGCATGGTCAATCTTGATCAGCTCTCTTGTCTGGCTAGTTATGAACCTGGTCTATTGGGCTCACCCCGGAGGTCCAGCTTGGGGCAAATATATGTTCAAAAACTGTTCCTGTCTTTCTGTTGCTGCTAACAAGCGAATTCCAGGGCCTAGGGGTTTGCCTCTACTTGGCAGCATGAACCTCATGGCCAGCTCCCTGGCTCACCAACGGATTGCAGCCGCTGCTGAGACGTGCAAAGCCAAGAGGCTTATGGCCTTTAGCCTTGGTGATACTCGTGTTGTTGTCACATGCAATCCGGACGTTGCAAGAGAGATTCTCAACAGCTCTGTATTTGCTGATCGTCCGGTCAAAGAGTCGGCTTATAGCTTGATGTTTAACAGAGCAATTGGGTTCGCTCCTTATGGAGTTTACTGGCGAACCCTGAGGAGAATCGCAGCCACGCACCTTTTCTGTCCTAAACAAATCAGAGCTGCAGAAGATCAAAGACGCCTGATTGCCTCTGAAATGGTCACCCTTTTTGCTCGCCATAACCAAACCTTTGGCGTACGCGAAGTGCTCAAACGGGCTTCCCTTAACAACATGATGGTTTCGATATTCGGACGAAAATATAAGTTAGATTCCACCAATAATGAAGTTGAAGAACTACGAGCTCTAGTTGATGAAGGGTACGATTTGCTGGGCACATTAAATTGGTCTGACCATCTTCCTTGGATAGCTGATTTTGACCCGCAAAAAATCAGAGTTAGATGCTCAAAACTTGTACCTAAAGTTAACCAATTTGTCAGTCGAATTATATCAAAACACAGGGCTCAAACAAACGGAAAAACTCGGGATTTCGTTGATGTTTTGCTTTCTCTCCAAGGTGCCGATAAGTTATCAGACTCTGATATGATCGCCATTCTTTGGGTAAGCTACATATATCCGACAGTATTTTTTTTATTTGAGTTTTGGGTACTAAATACTGTACTTTGTTTGTGTAGGAAATGATATTCAGGGGAACTGATACAGTGGCTGTCCTGATCGAGTGGATACTGGCCAGGATTGTGCTTCACCCTGATGTTCAATCAAGGGTCCATGATGAGCTTGACAAGATTGTTAGCAGATCAAGAGCCGTCGACGAGTCTGATGTAATGAACATGATTTATCTTCCAGCTGTGATCAAGGAAGTTCTGAGGCTTCATCCACCGGGCCCATTACTCTCCTGGGCCCGCCTAGCCATCGCTGATACAAGTATTGATGGGTATCACGTGGCAGGGGGGACAACAGCAATGGTGAACATGTGGGCCATCGCAAGGGACCCTCAAGAGTGGGCGGACCCACTTGAATTTATGCCCGATAGGTTTGTGACTAAAAAGGGTGAGGTGGAGTTTTCTGTGCTTGGTTCAGACCTTAGGCTGGCTCCATTCGGCTCGGGCAGGCGGACATGCCCCGGAAAGAACTTGGGGCTTACCACCGTCAGCTTTTGGGTGGCATCGCTTTTGCACGAGTTCGAATGGCTACCATCTGATCGAAACACTGTTGACTTATCCGAGGTTCTAAGGCTATCTTGTGAGATGGCCAGTCCTTTGAGTGTCAAGGTTCGCCCCAGACGTAGGTTAAGCCTATCTCACTAAGGTTTACTATTGTCATTGACAATTTCTATGATAATATAACAAATGGTATCTGAATATAGTACTATGTTATTCAATATGATATATTTAAAAAAATTTTAATATGATACAATAAATTAAGTTTTATATCCTATAATTTTGATATTACTAACAAATGGTTAGCTCAATTGACAAAGATCAACCTATTCGATGTAAAAATTTTGAGTTCAAATCTAGTCGATGATCGTTTATGAGAGTCATCTCGAATATACATCTTTAGTCACTTGTCTTAAGTTGTCGAATGTGACATATCTTACCATAACTTGAAAGATTGAATAATTTATTTATCCTCAAAATTTTTTCACATAAAAAAAATTTGGAATGGCTATAACTCTTTTTCTTTTGTCTTCCATTTTATTACTACATAGTACGTAAGAAATTTTATATATATATATATATATTGAAAGACATGGATAAAATTGTGTTATTAAAAGATGGAAGAAAGGGTCAATAGCAAAATCACACAGGTGGAAGGTCATAACAACAATACCATGAGTGTTAGGAATAATGACTTAAATCCCATAATAGATTTGTTTGAAATTGGTTAAATATTGCTTGATGGATAAAAAGACTTACAGAAAAAGAATTCTAAGAGAAAATGAATTATTAATAGGCAAGTTTGACTTGCAAAAAAAAAATTCTAATAGGAAAAAGATTCTTAATAGACAAGTTTATATATTTATAAATAGATGAAGTCTCTATAAGATTAGGTGTGAAAAAAATGTAAGAGAGTTGTAGGTACTGAAAGAGTCCACGTAGGTATAGTGCATGGGTGTACAAGGGTATATGTTTATTTGGGTTGAGAATACTTCATAGGATTAAAGGAGATTGAAAATGCTTATGGGTATTGATTGTTGAGTGCTTGATATGATTTGTATGTTTGTAATTTTTTATAACTAGTAGATCTTATTTCTCATTCGTAGATATAGATTAATTAGAACGAACCATTTTAAATTATTATTTCTTATGGGATTAATTGATTAATTATTTGATTTTGCTTTCACTAACTTGATTGGATAAGAAGCTTTTAGCCTAACAATGAGATCATTGAATTGATAAATTTTTAATTTGAAGAATATATCAATAATTGAATTGGCTTATTACAAAGTATGAATAATAAAGAAACATCGTTCAGTGTAGATTTTGGATTTTTAACTTGATTGGATATAAACTTCATTTGCTAGTAGACAACAAAGCAAGTATTAATCCAAAGAATTGTATTCTTAGAGTGACTTAAGGATGTCAATGAGTAGGATTTTTTTCATCTCTATCTTTGGATTTTTATATTATACTCATACTCATCCTCATATTCATATTCAATGGATATTTTAAATTTATCTTCATACTCATAGCTTAAAAAAAACTAAAAACTAAATTTTTTTAACTTTTTTATTTTTATCTTATATATTTAGGTAATTTTTTTATAAATATATATTAATATATTTTTTCAATAAAAATATATTAATTTTAATTGATATGAAATAATAATTTATATTATTTAATAAAAAATCTATATAGTAAATATATAAAAATATATATGTAGGTTATGAGTATGAAACATGTATTATATTATCCATCTTCATTCCCATATTGAATAAAAATTTAAAATCATATCCATTCCCATTTTCATTCCTATTCTTACAATGTAATACTTATCCCATCTTTATTCGAGTAAAACATTAGATTCTTATTATATATAGGTAATATTAACATCATTAGAGTCACTTTCAATATAAGAACGAGAGAGTTAGACCATACAAAAGATGAAAAGAAAGTGAATTTATGCTTCAACATTTGCCACTCGTCAATTTTTATTTCATGGATGTCTAATGTAGGCCATTTGTTCTAAATAGTTAGGCTTTGCTCACAAATAAAAAAAGCAGGCGTGCATACAACATGATTTTAGAGATAAACAATTTGAGGCATTTAGCTTATTTATCTTTAACTCATAATTTTTAGAGACAAATATAATATAGGCCACAATATATAATGATATTTGCCTTTAATTTACCTAATATTTTTTAATTAAAAATATAATTAATATAATAAATTTATAGTGACTTTTTAAAGTGTCCTTTTGCCTCTAAAACATTGTTGCTAATGATAAAAAAAATTAAATATTTATTCATAAAAGAAGGCCTAGTAAATTAATTAATTGTCCATCATATTAATGTATTGGAATTAAGCTATGTGAGGAATGTCCACACGTCAAAAATTCAAAGCTCCCATATTATTATATTACCACATATTAATTAATACGTTAAATTTTTTATTAATAGGATAATGCATCTCAAAGTTCAAATACTAATATAGTTAGACATACTAAAGATATTTTCATATACTTTAAGTCTAAAAGAACTTTGTATAAGATATTTTTATCTACTTAAAATCTAAAAACCATTTGTATACTTTTTAAGTATATAGCAAATTTAAAAACTTTAAAGACTAAATTTAAGCCTATGTATTAGGGTCTTTAGCTGCCAAAACTAGGTCATATATAACAAAAGTAATTGATAACTTTTAGAGACTCAATTTAAGCCTATATATTAGGGCTTTTGGAGGGAAAAAAAAAATCACAAGTGACAAAAGGAATTGACAGACCGCCACTACTCTTTTTGTTTTTTCAAGATAGCCGCCTAATATTTCACACAAAAGGTTTAGAAAAAAATCAATTAGTGTGATTCTCCGATTTCGCTACTTTTATCTTTTCGGAAATCAAATCCAAGGCTTGAGATAATCAGAAATGAAGATGTCTTGAGACAAGCAACAAGGAATGACTCTGAGAGATTTTTTCCATCTCAAAAAGATACCAATTTTTATAAAATCTTTTAAATAAAAGATGAATTTTACTTTTTTTTTTTAATTTTTTCTGAAGATTATAAGATTTTCACATAGATCATGTTAGGGTTTTTTTGTGGTTTCATATACATATGCTTAAAATTTTCCACTAAGGGTTTAGGTAGTAGCATTGTTAGGTTGTATATATATGTGTACTAATCTGTTAAATTTTCTTTTGATTCCATCAGGAGTATATGGGCATATTCAATCGATAACATAAGAAAAGTCTAAAAGACAGTACCTACCTTTTCATTGAAAGTGGATGTTTACTTTGCCTTTAATTGACATATGGGTCCCCATACATAATGATATTTGTCTCTGTAATAAGATGATGGCCAAAGAAATTTGAGTTGATGGTAGAAAAATATACTTATAATATTACAACAAATCTTTCGATTGGATAAAATTTTCAAATCAACTTATTATGTTTCTTTATTATAGTCTTATAACTTGTGCTACAACCCAATCTTCTTGCAGCAACAAGCTACAGTTGAATGACTTTTCTATCATTCTTATTTGTAATTATTGTGTTTGCTATATAACCAAGAATTTGACCATCTTGAAATAAACATAAATGTCAAATCAAGTGTTTTTGTTTTTCCTAGTATAATCTAAGTGCCCATGGTAAGAAGTCTTTGCACATAAAAGAGTGTCCATCAGAATTGCGAGAAGCTGTGTCAAGCATAAAATTTGATGCTCCTAAATGTTCAGATGTGCTTGATTTATTGCAGATCAAGAATTTGTTTTTGTTTATGCCAGCTTCGATTTAATGTTATTTTTGAGAGAACAAGAAAAAAAAAGCAATAAAATGTAAAGGTAAAAAATATTCTTTGTATTTGTATTTCGATGTGCATATTAAAAATCAGAATAAAAAAGATCGAAAGGATAGAAACATAAAGGGTTAAAATAAAATAGAACTTGAAATGATAATACTTGAATGTCTAGATTTATATGTGAGAAGTAGGGGACCAATGAAAGATAACAGTAACATGGCTAAACTAATATAACATTGAATATGTCAGGTCAAATCAGCTCAGATATCCGAAATATTTTTGATTGTCTGTTGACAACTTCTAATAGAGAAAAAAATCACAGTGTCCTTTTGATCACTAAATACCCATAATAATTTCCTACGAAGTATGGGGAGGAATTTGTCATTGTTGCAACTGAGCTTCGTCCTGATTCAAGCATCAACCTTTCAGTTAATCATCTTCGGTTCATTTACATTTTTGCTCCTTTGAGATCTAATTTTTTGCTAGACTAGTGGATATTGCAATTTGAATATGATGATAGGCCATTTATGATTCTTTTTCTTTCTATCATCTAGATAATAAAAATGCTTTCAGTTAGGGCTTTATCAGGAAAGATAAGGCTTAAAGTTTAGAAGGAAATTGCTCAAGAATACAGTGTAGAATGGGATACCGCTAGCATTGAAGCAGAGTTTAATAAGAAACAGGAAGATTTACTGCTACACTTAAAAAGTATGTTTCCGAATATTTCTGTGTGGACTTTCCATAGGAATAGGATAATCTTCTGGAATTGTTTCTGGTTCATGACTCGATGCTCTTGATATTTATACTACTTTCTTTGCTGTTTGGGAGCAGTTGCACAGATGCCAGAAACCATTTTATGCATCCTACTTTGTTATGCATCATTAGTTTTTATTATGTCTTGTGCTTTTATATCTAAATTCATTCTCAGTATAATATGATGTATTTTTTCTAATAAAAGGTCCTTTGTTTCAAAAGAAATTATGCTTGAATATTTAATTTGTTGTTTGTTTTTGGTACATTTTTTCTAACCAAGTTTTTTTTTTGGGTTTGTTCTTTAGTGCTATATTTGAATATATATAAATAAAAGAAAGGAAATGAAAAGAAATAAAAGCTTTTTAAAGGAAAAGAAATGATACATGTATGCCTTGTTTGGATAATTAAAATTAATAAAAGAAAAGAAAGAAAAAGAATTTTAACAACTATTGTTTGTATAAATAGTGAAAAGGAAAAGAAATAATTCATTATAATATATTTTTTTCTAATTATGACTTTTTTTTATAAAATAACATATAATGTATAAATATATCTTTATGCTTCCTAGCTTGTATAGACAAAATTTTTTAAACAAAATTGAGTATGTTTAATTAGGGAAGATGTATTAGCTAGTTATTGA